CGGGGCTTCAACCGGGTGGACAACCTGCGCTCCCACGTGAAGACGGTGCACCAGGGCAAGGCCGGGATCAAAATCCTGGAGCCCGAGGAAGGCGACGAGGTCAACATCGTCACCGTGGCCTCCGATGACATGGTGACATTGGCCACCGAGGCTCTGGCTGCCACCGCGGTCACACAGCTCACGGGTGAGCTGGGGGCGTCCTCGGGGGTCCCCAAGGGGGGTTTGTCCATGGGGAGCAGTTGGGGGTCCTCAGAGCCATCCCAGAAGGGAAACATAACCATGGGAATGCAGCTTGGAGGTCCCAGAGCTATCCTGAAAGGGAGGTTTATCCATGGGGTGCAGCTGGGGGGTCCCAGGAACCCTCTGACAAGGGAAGCTTATCCATAGGATGCAGCTGGGGGATCCTGGAGCTGTCCCAAAACAGAGGCTTATTTATGGGGGTGCAGCTTGGGGGTCCCAGGAGCCACCCTAAAAGGGAAACTTGTCCATGGAGTATGGCTTGGGGGTCCCAGAACTGTCCCAAAAGGGAAGGTGAACCCCTAAGGGGCAGGTCGGGGTTCCAAGAGACACCCCAAAGGTGAGATTTTTTTCCATTAGGGGCAGCTTAGCAGTCCCAGAAGCCCTTCCATGGGGAAAACTTGTCCACTGGGAGCAGCTTGGGTGTCCTGGGGCTGCCCTGCAAGGGAGGTTTATCCATGGGGTGCACCTTGGGGGTCTCAGAGCTGTCCCAAAAGGCAGGTTTATCCACAGGATGCAGCTTGGGGGGGACCCCAAGAGCCACCCCAAAAGGGAGATCTGTTTGTGGGGGCAGTTTAGGGCTCCCAGAGGCCACCCCAAAGTGAGGCTCATCCATGGGGGGCATCTCGGAGCTCCTGGAACATCCCCCAGTCGCTGGAGGTTTATCCAAGGGTACAACATCCCGAGGCTGGGAAACCACATCCCACGGGAGCCCTTCCCGGGCCCAGGGAGGGGGGTCCTGCCCAGGCGGGACCCCAAACCCTCGTCCCCTTGTCCCGCAGTGGTGCCCGTGGCGACCGCGGTGACGGCGGACGAGACCGAGGCACTCAAGGCTGAGATCACCAAGGCTGTGAAGCAGGTGCAGGAGGCAGGTGAGCTGGGAACAGCGGGAATGGGAACAGCGGGAATGGGACAGCGGGAATGGGAACAGCGGGAATGGGAACAGCGGGAATGGGAACAGTGGGAATGGGAACAGCGGGAATGGGACAGTGGGAACACTGGGAATGGGACAGTGGGAATGGGACAGTGGGAATGGGACAATGGGAACGGGACAGTGGGAATGGGACAGTGGGAACACTGGGAATGGGACAGCGGGAACGGGACAGTGGGAATGGGACAGTGGGAATGGGACAGTGGGAACACTGGGAATGGGACAGCAGGAATGGGAA